CATTTCCCAAAATGTTAAAAAAAGTGTCCTCTTTCCAATGAAAAATAACTTTTAGTTCTTGAAAAAACAATATTTGAAGTTTTCGCTATAATTCGCTATAAAATTTATTTCTTGAAGGATCCTTATGGAAACATCGCCAATTATTAATTAAAGTATCCTCTTTTTAGAGTTGCTTCGTTAGTTAAATCAGCATCAAAAAAGTTCATTTTGTATCTTGGATCCAAATAAGTTGACATATCTTATTAACTTTCTTATTAATTTCATCATTATTCAAATATCGCAATAATGTGGCAATATAGGGTATCACTTCAGAAATGCACCAGAAATTATAACCATAATGGCCGGATAACCGGATATCCGGCAGAAGGGGATGCTCCGATATCCGGGTTTTCGCAAAATCACTATCCGTTCCATCACTAGTATTTACATTGATGTCATGTCCTCGTGTGTCGAAATAATATTAAAGAAAACGTAGGAAAAGCAGAAATAATAGGAAAGTTGAAATATATTTCAACATGAAAGGAATGCGGGAGACTGTTTCGACGTCTTGGGTTAACGATGTCGTTAGAATAGTATGACATTTTGGGTACACGCCCGTGAGAACTTGGTCGAGATGAATTTCCCGACCTACGTAGTGGTAACCAGAAGCATATGTTCTCGTCAACGTCGATGGTTTTCGTTTCGTGTCGGCGAGTAGAACAATCTGCTGCCCATGACATTCATCATATGTCAAGCTGAGCGCAGAAAAGTTTCGTAAAAAAGCTTCCGATCGCCAAAATTCTAAACACGTTATTTAATTTGCGATTCCCGCAGCGTTCGTAACTCATCTGTATTCGGCGTTAACGGTTCCGTCGTTTCCAGCGTTGCACCGCGATTTTCACTTACTTTACACTCAATTTTCAATTTAAAAAAAAATAGGTTACACTGACATTTTTTAGATCATTTTAAATGTATAACAATTTAAGTTAAAATTCGATAAAATATGTAACATCGTATCGTATCGATTCAGTTCATAAAGTAAAGAAGATTACACTTTGAGACGACTATAAATTAAAGCACGTCTACGGGGGTGAGTTTTAAAACGAGTGTCTGGAGCACGCTTCACGTCTTTAGTTCCGTCCTGCCGGAGGAGTTTTTGAACTTCTTTTTTCCCCGTTTAGCGCTCCGCGAGCCGGTGCTTAATTGGACAGTCCTCCTCTCGTCGAGTTGTTTCGCTTTAAGATGAATCCTTCCGAGCAAATATTTAGCGCTCTCATCCACGAGATTTATACGACCATTAAAACTTGTTTTAATACACTTCGTTTCCGATCAAATGATTTCTCTTCGGATTCAGTATTGCCGAGTGAACTTGAATCTTTTAACTGATTGGAGAAATAATTTAAATTAAGGATAGCTATTAAAGAGTTTTTCAAAAGAAGTAAATTAATTTTGAACGTTTCTAGAGTTGATTTGAACACGGAGGGAGATAAAATTTCTCGCTGGAACTTTTTTTTTATGCTTTTGGGATTATAGAGATCATCGAAAACATAACCTTATCGGTTTAAGCCTGGCGAGGAAAGGGCAATTCAATTTTGTCCGGAACGTAATTGTATCGATAAAGGGAAAATTCTCTTGTGGTCTTTCTTGTGGCTCATCGAGCTCGGATAGCTCCAAAATTAGTTCCGCATTTAGCTTATCGACTTGAATTGTTGGATACTCAGAATTGATTGCTGATTAGATAATTTTGATAAAAATTATTTCTTAAAGGTCTACACAAAACATTTTTTTAAACAATTATTATTGCTTATTCCAGCGTTTCATTAATCAATTTAGAAAAAATAAAAACGTCACAAAAAAAATGCATAATATAAAAGAAACCACAACGTTTCGACCTCGGTTTAAAACAGTGACTATGTATTTAAGCGTATTAAGCCGAGGCAGTATGCTGTTTGATACCAATCTTGTATTGATATGGTATTAACTGTAGCAACCTTGGTTTAATATATTGATATCATGTATTTCAGCGTATTATACCGAGGCCACTTACAGGTTGGCTCTACGTTGCTTGACACCAGTCTTCTATTGATGTGGTAGGCTTGGCTTAATACATTAAAATCGCACATTTCAGTGTATTACACGAATAGAATAGAATAAATTAAGTATTTTGCTAATTTAAAGTGTGAAATAGTAGCTGCCTACCAATACCGTAAATGACGTCATCAACAAACTGTCGAGCTGCATCTGTTGTGCATCTGGGATGTAGCAGGTTTCGTTGTGGTAGTCTCCTGTCGGCAGACTACGACAACGTACTGAAATGCCAGGTGAGATCTTGGCGAACTGTCTACCCCTTTCCAAAGAGAACCAACAGGAAGAACGAATGAAATCTCGGATCGATCATAACAACACAAACTTCAAAGTGCTACAATATTGGTTTAAACTTTGGGCAAATGCTTATTTTAAGCCAAGCCTAGCTAAGTTTTGACAAACATGTTGATCATCTGGTTTCGAAATTGAACTCGTCCTTCTATGCAATTCTGAAGTTGAAGGGATGCCTCCCGCTATCGGGATTATTAGATGCGTATTATGCTCTCTGTTATTCGCATCTCTCATACAATATATTATTGTGGGGAAGATCGACGGAGTGGCGGCNAGCGAACCAACAGGAAGAAAGGATAACATCTCGGATCGATCACAACAACACAAACTTCAAAGTGCTACAATATTGGTTTAAACTTTGGGCAAATGCTTATTTTAATACGACATGATGAAAGGCTTCTTTTGTTTCCTGAAAAATCAAGTAAATGTCGCTTTTGTCGTTTTGGCTTGGCAGCGCCGATATATTCCAAACAAGGTTTTTATGAGGTCTTCTATTTTAATATGTTGTACCAATGAAACTGTAACAGATTTTAGAAATGGTTACATAGGGAGAACTTTATTACTACTACAACGATGTTAGATTTGAAGTTTATTAAAAATACAGATTGAAGATATGTATGAAGATCAAAAAGGTGAAGACTTACCATAGTGTATGAAATTTCTGAACAAAGTACTAGTAATAAAAAATTGAAAAGTTTTTAAACCCTAACAACAAACCCTAAATGTCAAAAATAGACTTTCAGATTCCAGTTATGTTAAAAACGGATGATCTTTTTCATAGAGCAAATCCCAGTATAACTAAACAAATAACATAAGAAGTCATTTAAACAACGCGTCTATAAAAATATAAAGTTTGATATCTTGTAACTTTCATCAATGTTGACAAAATAGGAATACTCAATATTTCGTTAGTCGAGTATAAAATACGTCGCTGCTCGAATTATCTCCATTGTTTACAATTTGGCCCGCTTGAACATGTACGTTAAGGGATTAATCGAGTTGAAGGTGTGGCAATGTCAAGTTAGAGAGGGCTATTGTCCATATTACTTCCCACGTGGGGTTGGGTTACTGTAGTGGTACTCCAGGGAAGAATGTTGTGTAAATTCCTGCGATAAGAAATAAATGTCTGAGTTCGGTAATTTCCGGTATTGGAGTGGTTGTTGACTGCCTAACATTGTTGCTACACCCGTTACTCCTGAATCTGATATTGATGCAGCTCATCTTGCGTTTGCTCATGGTGGAAATGGCGAAATCGTAAAAGTACTGTTAAATTTATATCATAATGTTTACGGAAGCATTTATTTCATGCATCGTAAGAACAACATAGCTAGTTCACTTGGCCTCTATATTTGTGACATATACGATAAAGTATTCATTAACCATTGCTAATGCAGAATTATTTTAAAAAGCAAAAGAGCTATAACAGCTGAAAGTAGGTATATAAATTTTACCTTTTAAACGATATCTTTTAACCTGTTCCACGACTTGGTTTGTTTAAAAGCGATCAATTCAAACAACTGTGTTTATATCGATGATCTCATCACAGCAACTAAATCATGTACAGTCGTCTTCATCTACCAGAGATTACATCAACGTTACAATTATTGTTGTTATTATTGTTCATTTATACTTCTTTTCTCTCTCATTTTTATTCTCTCTTTTTCCCTTTAAGCAATTATGAATATAAACTTACATTTTTTTGAATTGTACTATTTTGATTATTATTGTGCTTCATCATCAATAAACATATATTATTATTATTATTAAATACATCATGTCTGTTATGGAAGTTATCTCATTTACAATAGATTATTATATCACGGCGCCTCAGCTGCAGGTTGTAGATCTTTTGACTAATTAAGCTTGTTGACAAATTAATTAATTCGCTTGTGGCCGAGGTTCAGTGATCAATATTACATCGACCTAAAACTGGTCATCATATTGTGGCTCCTCGATCGCAAGCAACCTTGGCTTATCAAGTAGAGTTGTGGATCTTTTGATTAATTAAGCCGAAAGCGGTTGCGTCCGAGGCTCAGTCATTAAGATTATATTAGCCTGAAACTGGTCATCATATTGTAAAACATATTACTCCACATATTACAAAGACCGTTAGCTGCTTTGGTTTATCAAATGAAGTTGTAGATCTTTTGACTAATCAAGCCGAGGTAGCTTGCGGTGATTAATATATCAACCTAAAACTGATCAATATGAAAAGATTACTGAATTACCGAAACATTTCATACTTTAGACTTAGTTAACGCATTTTAAATTCTTAGATAAGAAAATTTATTGCTTATCCTTTTATGTTGGAACTTAATTAAATCGCTTTGACCGATGATTCAGGTCCATGCTACACATTAATTTCCGTACGTCAACGGCATCCCTTCCTGGCGAAAGAGGTCATGAAAGATTAAACTGATCGTGTACGTTCAGTGTTGTAGGAGATACGTAGCATAATATGTTTGAAAGATGGTACCTAGCAAAATAAACCAAATAAAGCATAAAACAATGGTACTCTGACCAAGACCAACACGTTTCTTAAGTTATTAACTGAAACAACATGTTGTCCCTTTAGGGTTGGTTTTAGAAACACATTCCGTAATTAGGTATACATCATTCCTATACAAAATATAGTGACTAAGGAATTAATGGGAAGCATTTATTGCCAAGGCAAAAATATTACAAAATCAAAATTATATTTTAATAAAATATAGACTAATTAATTATAAACTAATTATTAATTCAAACGACTACTTAGTAAATGATTCCATGTAATTTATCCTAGTAATTTTTTCCTCTAAACCAGCAATCTGTAATGAAAAAAAAACCTTCAATCTAAAAAAAAAGAAATCCTTCGCATTTCGTTTAATAAAACTGTATATTTTATACGATTCATCACATTATAAGCTTGTCATTCCAATCGTTCCACTTAAACAAATTTCTTTTTTTTTACCTGTCAACCACAGAACCCCTCACTTCACATTAAAATAAAGGTTGTCGCTCAAAAAGAGAATTTAACACGATGATTCACAAAACAAAATTCAATCTACTTACTTTCTTTGCGTTCACCTCCTTCGTTTTTTCCGTCGCGTTCAATTTGTAGCCCTCGGTCGACGTCATAGCTTTAATCTTTTCAAGTTCCCCAACCAATTTCGACTTCTTCACCTGGAGCTTTCGGACGTCCACATCGAATTTGTCGCGTAGTTCTTGCGGTACCTCCAATAAAATGGTAACATCACCGATTTTATCCACAACCATATCATCTTTTCGTTCAATATCTTGATGAATCTGTATTGTGTTGCATCCGGATAAGTCTTGAATGGTGTTTAGGTAGTCTGTGTATATTGGGGATCTTGTAACTAGGATTGCTGTGAAATTGTAAGTTTATTCATAATAAGTTAGTATATTTTAAGATAAAAAAAGATCTCTTTTTTCTATGATAGATTATAATGATTGTTGGGAATAGATAGTAGTAATATTTATTTGTACAATTGAACAAGGGGTTTAATCGGATTAAATTGATCAGCTTTAGGAATAATAGTATCAGAGATAACGAAACCGAATAAAACCGCATTTCCTATAATTTATCGGTATCCGTTGTAATCCGATAAGCAGGCTTCCCTAGAACAATCCACTCAAACCGAACCCGTTTTCCCAATCGCCCTCCTAGCCTCATGTTACACCGTGGACAAGAACTAACGCGACGATAAAGGCTATTAATAATGGAACAACACTAAATTACAATCGGAATTACCTAAATCCAAGCAACCTTTCTTTTTCAAATTACTATATAACTTATGTACATATCTTTATTGACGTAATAACCGTGTTGAGCACTGTATAGAGAATCTTTTCAAGCGCAAAGAGTCTATGCAGACGAGAGTGAGCTTGTGGGTACACAAAAGGCGAGCTTTTGTACAAGAATACGGCCTTGCGCATCGACGGAGCTGAATTTGAAAGTGCCTTACTGACCTTTCGGCTTATGCTTTGCCGTTACGTTGAACAACTTCTTCAGCCTCCGTATCGACGCTACCACTTCCATTATCCCGTCGACCTCGTCCTCAATTGTCGGGCAGCTCCATTGAGCTTCCTCCTGAAAAATGTAGGACACTATTGAATCCCTTCAAGCGTCCAGGGTAAACTAAGATTTATCTGGGACCTGTATTACTTTTTCGGTGTTTTGTAGTAGGAGAACTGGTTTCAAAGGAACTTTAGGGGATTTAATATTTTAAGAACGAAAAAAATTCCTTTCTTTTCGTAAATTTACTGATAAAGCTGGTTAGGGAGGTTGTTTGCTTTTACACGCCCTCGACTGGGATAACTAACCTGCGGAAAATCGAATCGACGTGGCGTGAACGTCAGGACCGACTCCACGTTCAAGCGCTCGTGCAGATGGCTGGATAGAACGGGCATAAATGGAGCCGTACACCTCAAACCCACATCCAAGCAAACGACCATCGTCCAGATGTGGCCGGCAGCAGCCTTACTCTCCGTCGACCTCAGACCCCTTTTTGCGGATTCCTGTGGAACGAGAAAATTAATATTTATTGGCGGAACACTCCATCCGACGGCAACGCACCACGTTGGCGGCAACTAAATTATCTCATTATGGTTACCTATGCTAAAGAGAACATGTTTTGTCAATACACAAAAAGAAGTTTTATCCTAAATCCTAAACTCTGATTGTGGAAAATTTAATTAAATTTACATGGTAATCTAATAGATTTTGATCAAGATTAACATATTTCAACAAATTGAAGTTATATTAGTATTTTCATGAGTATAAAAAAACGATTTTCATGAGATATCTAAAAATATATTCGAAAGAGGCGCAAGATCGAAGCGAAACATAACAAAGTTTTCGGAAGCCTGTGTCAGTGGCAATAGTTCTTCTTTTGAGATAAAAGGGAACCATTCGAGAGAGGAGCGTTTCACGCTATTGCCGCGTTGTGTTGCCCTCTTTCGGTCGTCCGGAGTGCCCCGGAGGGCAGATTCCGGCTAAACGCTAATGATGTTTGTTGATGTAAGCGAGAGGCTGGAGGATAGGAGAAAGTTTTCAAGAGAACTTTATGGAGTTCATAAATTTTTCCTTTTTTTTAGTTTGAAGTGTTATGAAGTTCAAAGTTGGACTTCGTTCGAATGCTAAAACTTTGGGCAATAGCGTGAGTTTTCAAACAAAAAAACTGAAGGAAAAAGAAAAGTAATGAATTTTTATAACGTACGATAGGCATTTGTGATTAAAATAAAAAATACTCCCTCTGTTCCATAATAAGTGTTCGATTTAGATCTATCAATGAATATATATTTTCTACACATAATTCTTACATAATAATGATTTAATCATAAAGCTGGCTCTACACGATCCAGTACGAACTGATTCGACACTTTAAAGAAATTGCGCTGCATGCGGTAATCTGTGATAATCTTTGCTTAGGCGGCTTCGACGAGGTTCCTATCATATTTAAGGCAAAGTGGTAACTGTCCTAGTTGAATCAGTTTTACTTTGCCTAAATGGGGCAATTTATAATTGTTGCCGCCATTTACCTCTTATTTTATAAATGGCCAAATGTCTAATTTCCCATCAAATCACTCATTACGGGAATTGTCCTTCCAATGACGAGCAAGAATACCTCAATACATAACCTTTGTGATGAATCTCTTATTTTTGCATGTTTGATAAGGTTCTATCTCATCGTGAGCGAGGTAGTACTTGTGCGATGTTTTCTTTAAATAAAACCTTTTCTCATCAACATGAATGAAGTTTATCATATCCTTTAAAATAGGTGCACCAGCAGCGATGCTATCAGAATTAAGCATTATCAAGCAATATTGCAAACATTAAAATTTGTTGTTATCTGTAAGGAATGGTTTTATTGAGTTGGGGTGGGCCTTAATCAATCCAAATTTAATACGTCTGTGAATTGTGCTTTTCGACTTTCCAATCATCATGTGCTAGCGATCGAATATTTCTACGATGATGAATCCTGTCAACTTTTCTAGATTTCCGCGAATTTCTCGAATGTAAGGATTGCTCCGCGGTGCCAAGTTCGACTTATAAACTTCATTGACACAGAATATTGAGTTATAATGATACACAATTTGCGTTAGATTAGGCTTTTCTTCTTTGTGTTATTGTACCTCTAACTTCTTCAGATCCCATTATTTGGCCAGACCAGTATTTTTACAAATAGTAAGACAACACCAGAGTTTTAAGCATCTACTCAAAAGTCGAGTTGATTGCTTAAAATGTTTTGACAACATACAAATGTCAATTTTGACGTACATCACTTGATAGAACACAATATTACATCTCGAGACGCTGGTAAGTTTCGCGAAATTGGAAACTCCGACATTTATTTTAGAGCAGAAGGTGTAGGGAAGAGTGTCCTAAAACGAAATAATATGATATAGCCTTTTCTAAGTAATTTCACATATTCACATTATTGTAGCCCTATTAACTCATACGTTAGTCTCTAATGTGCCATTCCATTTTACAAATATCTGTACATTCATCTGCGGGATTTATACGACAGGTTATGTTTACACACAGTGTAAAAGTTTGTGCGGATCGTGAGAAACGGTGTTTATTTTATATTCATAAAAGATTATTTGAAGTATCTATTGCGAAGTTGGCCACCACAACGGTTGAAGTATTAGACAGATGAGTAAGTTTGTGAAATTGGATGATGGTATAATATGAATGAGAGTGGTTTATCCACTGTTCAGAATCTTCCAAAAATCCTGGCGTCAACTAGTGGAGAACACCCTTGTCCTTGGCTAGTGTCGAACGTCGTCAACATGTATTTGTAGTATGTTGCATGAGTGTATCAGGAAATTATGTTCCCCTTGCAGTAAATTTTGCTAGTAAAAATAGAAAAAAAGAACTGTTTGATAAAGCACCTCACGAAGTCCTGGGTAGAATCTGGTTGGATGACTTCACATTTATATCTACAGTAGCTTACGCATTTTTGTAAGCATTCAAATTCAGAAAAAAAAGTTTTTCTGCTATGGGATGGCCATGTTAGCCACAGGTCTTTACAAGGTGTGTCATTTTGTAGAGAAAATAGATAGGATGCAACTTCCTAAAACTTACTACAATCAAGCTTGCACCACCTTGTTAAAAATTATCCTGGATGTGTTATTACTGTGTGCCAAGTTAGTGACTTTTTTTTAAGGCCTATGGGAAGGCTGCAACCACTTGATCCTGAAAATTTTTCTGGCCATCTTTTTGTAGCTGCAGATACCACAAATATTGAACTTGAAAATATGCACCAAAAAAAGAGGATATGGCTGAAGAGGAGAATCTATCTGAAAATAGTTGTTTAGAAGACAGGTATTAACAACCTAATTAAACAACTAATAATAAAGGAACTACCAAGCTATCATTACTCGAAATATCTCCTCCTCCAAAAATCAATCCAAGTGAAACGTAGAAAGCAAATAAATAAACACACAATTTTGACGTTTTCTCCAAACCTGGAAGAATTGAAGAACAAAGAAAACAAGATACGAAAAGTTAATAACAAAGGTATGAAACGGGAGATTTTTAATGACAGTTTCTCGAAAGAAGCTCATTGCTCCAACTTCAGCCGAATTACTTTATGTAAAAGACTGGTAACGTCTAAGCAAAAATGCCAGCTAAGCGACACAGAAACTGTGGAATCTAAGTGACAGTAAACTGGACAGTGAGGATGATACATACAATAATTGAAAATCGAACGAAAGATGTATTAAATGTATGGTGCATTTAATACATCTATGCATTTAATACATCTACCCTCAAATATACTTTCGTCATCTATGGGCACATTTAAAATGTTCTGCTTTAAATCTAAAATCAAAAGTATTCGTTTGCAACTTATGCAACAAAATTAATCTAATTTAAACATCTTTTAGAGTGTTCTTTTAAACACACCCAGGTGGTAAAATGACATAGCAAATGCATTTGTGGTAAATACATAAGGTTATTTTATGTTATTGAATGTTTGTAATAGTTTATTTGTAAATTTTACAATGGTTTTCCAAATAAAGTTTATTTTTAGGATACAGGTTTTTTTAAGTATGTCATTTTAGGACACGTTTATTTCAAAAATTCTTAAAAACTGAACAGTATTTGAAAATTTGAAATAATTGTTTTTTGCATTAATTTTTTGCATTTAAAATGTTAGTGAGATGTTAAGAACTCATTAAAATAGCATCAAAATGAAGAAGATGTACTTTTCCTTGACTGCAGTTGAAAATGATATTAACACTCTTGTGACTTTCTCGACTCGAGATTCACTTTTGCACCCCACTTCTAGGTTTAACTCATGAGACGAGCGCCGTAGCTCCGAAACTTGTACTTCGTTCGCCTGATGTAGTTGTATATACGTGGTAATTTGTCGACTAAGAGGAAATTAAGGGGGTGCAATTGGTTGGTTGCCGACGAGATTGTTTTTAAATTTAATTAAACTCCCTCAAGCTACCCGATAACATAGGTTCGGTAATGAGTCGTTAACAAGGACGTTAAAATAATAAAAAAAAACATCTTAATGGCTTCCACGAGATCGAAATAAGTTTTTGCGAAAAGTAAATGATGAAAAAAGAGAACCAATTGATCTCCCTTGGATGTGGGAGATTGTCCTCCTGGGGGTGGTGGAGGTGGTTAGAGAGATAAATCAAATAGCCTTTGCCAGCGGCGACAGAATATAATTCTTCGAAGCGGCCGCGACTGCTATCTTATGAATAATGAATGTCCGAACTGGGCGAATATCAGTACCTTCTTTCTCTCTTCGTTCGGTCCTGATGATATTAAACTCGGGTGACGAGAAAGGATGAAAAAGGAACAGGAAGAATACGCGGGGATGTCATATCGCCGGGGACGTCTTGATGAAAGCGAACATCGCCTGATAATTTTCGTCGTTCCGATGAAATGAAACTGCTTAAAGCGAAGACCCTATTGATAATTTCGTCGGAATTTCAGATGAAATGAAGATCTTATCTATACTCTCCGTAAAAAGGAAATGGATGGAAAAAGAAACTGACCCCATTTACAACAATTATTAAATCATCCAAGACTTACTGCAAGATGTTTTTTGTATATCCCATGAATCTAAAAAAGACGTTGTGGGGCTCAGCCGGGATTTGAACCCGGGACCTCTCGCACCCGAAGCGAGAATCATACCCCTAGACCACTGAGCCATATTTAAAGCTGGTGTTTTTTATGTTTTTCACAATAGATACAAGAATAATACAAGAAATAAATATACAGTGTGTCCCCGAATAGGTGAAACGACTCTTATAAAATGTAAAATTTTTTCAATATTAACTGTCAGCTTTTGAGGTTTAGCCCTGCTTGGTTAAAGACAAATTTTGCAGATATTTTCAAGTTTTAAAGAACACGTGAATGTTGACACTGAAGCGAAAACTTCTTGTGTGTCAGATAAAGTACGTTTTCTGTTTACAGTATGCCAGAATGTTACTAAGAAATTTTATTCCGAATGAAAAGCTTTGGCCATATGCAAATTTTCGGAATCATCGGCCTACTTTGATAAAACCCATTGTTTATTATTTTCGCCAATAGTACTTTATTACAATTTTTTGTTTTGAGATTCAGATTGTTCGGGAGAAATAAACAAACCGTTCTTAAAATATTCACAAAAAATTAAGTGTGTGTTCGCCCACAAAAGAAGACAGTTAATCATAGTTAACTCAGATTCAAATCAGTTTCATAATAATTTTTTTTTCTTATGGTGAACATTTCCTGCTGTAAGAAATCTTTTGATTAAACACCAACAAGTACTACTTTGAAATCCAGTATTTGAAAATTTTTCACTAAATAAAGCAATAACCATATTTATCATTATAACTTTTTCCTCTAATGTTAACATTGCATTTAAAAACCACTTTAAGTTTACTAAATTACAGTTTGACAGATTAACATTGATAGAAAGCAATTTTGTTTTTCCATGGCATGATTTTATTTCTTTGTTAGAAATAAAATTGTTTGTTATGGATTTTTATCATTCCGAAAATGACCATAGTTTTTCATTCTGAACAAAACTTCTTAGTAACACTTTCACGTACTGTAAACAGAAAAGGTACTTTACCTGCCACAAAAAGAGTTTTTCTTTCACTGTCAAGGCTCACTTGTTTTTTAAAAATTGAAAATATGTTCAAAATTACTCTTTAATCAAGTAGGGCTAAACCCCAAAAAATCACAATTAATATCGAAAAAAATTTACCTTTTATTAGAGTCGTTTCACCTATCCAGGGACACACTGTATAAGAAGCAATCAGTTGTGTAAAGAAGAGGGGTACTTTTTGAAACATCAAATATCATTCCATATGCTAAAAAAAAATGAATAAGTCAGAAGTGATGGTTGTTTTGCAATATTGTATAAACGGCAATGTTTAACAATGTAAAAAAATAGGGCTCAGCCGGGATTTGAACCCGGGACCTCTCGCACCCTAAGCGAAAATCATACCCCTAGACCACTGAGCCGCTCGAAATGAAGAAAAACTAATTTTATGTTTAACACTAAGAACTCAGAACTGCAAATTAAAACTTGTTTTATATCAAGTAAGTCCTATTTCAATAATATAGAGTATAATTTAATAGCATACTTCAAAACTCTCAACAAATAACCAAGCAGAACAAATCTAAATGTGAAAAGTTTGGTTGTGATTGAATTTTGATCACATGTTTGGTCTATTAACTTAAACATGTAAACCTTCATGATCTTCCAAACAATCACATGGCTCTGCACATAATGGTTCTTTTATAACTTGGAAATCTATAACATCCACAACTTGTATATGGAAGTCTAGTCAAAGAATCGACATCTTTCTTCTTTAGCTGTAACATTTCATGCAACTCGTCATGTAACTCACCATCTTATACTATAAAAAGTCAGGAATTTTTTGCTGAAAACTCCCTTTTGAGAAGTGTAACAGGTGGTATATCTTCGTCAAACTTGGGGTAACTCTGTTCCTTCACCGTTACTCTAATCTGGCTATTTTCCTTAACATTTTGTATCTGTATATCCTTGAAATTACTGATGTTGTTTAAGTTTTTGTAAACTGTTGCTAGGGACTTAGTTTTAATTAGCCTGTTTTGTCCTAGAATTCTTACAGTACCAAACATTCTGTCAGCAAAAATGTATGTCCATGCGCTGGGAAATGTGTAATTATATTTTTGATACAAGTAGAGCATAAACTTTTTTCTTCATGTTTTATCCTTCACACCAATCACAGATAATTTGATATTATTCATTTAGATTTTTCTCAAAAAAGTCTAAAAGCCGAAGAAATTTCCAAAGATCCTCTACCACCTTGGTCTTTGATCCAACAGTAAATGTAATGCCTTTTAGTTTCAGGATCGACACAACATACTGTGTAAGAACCTTTTTACCATGAGCATAATAGGCTTCTTGCTGAATGATTCCTTTTTAAAGAGCCAAAACCCGCTACCCCACATCTGCGTGTACAAAACAGCATCCTTTGCCCACTTAAAATGGATCGGAATAGCTACTACAATGTAGTTTCATCGGTAACTGTTATGTAATCTTGCAATGGCCACCTATGGCTTGATACTTCAAACGGTAAGCAATCTGCAATGATCTCCTAAGAATACAATTATATTCAGGAATTATGTAGAAATTACCAAAATACTAGTGAGTATTATGATGCAGCAATTGTAATCAACAACGTAACGTGCACTTTACCAAAGAGGGTTTCAAAATATAGAAAATCGTACAAACAATCAATTCTTTAACAGTTTATAGAAGTTAACCAAACGGTAACATTACTTAAAAAGGAAAAAAACAAGAGTTGCAAGTTCAAAAATATTTTGAACTTATCTGTCAATAATGCCAAATAAAGATGTTATAATGAGAAAAATAGTTGGATCACTAAATAAGTCAATGCTGAGGTAACTCCCTATTAGATCACACAATGTATTGTAAATTGCCAAGTGAGGTAATTAAAATGTTTGATTAACCAGGAAATTTTGAATATATGCAGAGATATAAAAAGGAAAGTTGTTTTAATGTTACCGGTTTCCTTACCTAGTTTGTACTGATCTAGCTGTATGCTGCAAGAATACAATTAGAAAAAGATAAGATATACTGTATAGCTACTATACTGCACAGCTATCACTTCATTAAATTCTCATTCAAAGACTGACCATAGTTGAGAATTACTTACTCCAAATAGGACAAATATTAATGACAAAGAGAAAAAACGTTGGTAGGAAGTATTAGCGAACTGCGCTAGTGTACGTCATCTTTCATCATTTCCGTTCACACGAAGCACTGGAAATGGTAGTACCGTATCAGAAAAGACGAGAAAGGCTAAGACACTAGCCATAAAAGAAACTTATTCTAGAATGATGATGACAATGCCGTTTGAAGAAATAACAACCCTTTAACCAAGAAGAGTGGTCTTTGTATACACAATGTCTTCTCATACCCTAAAGGAATGGAATTCAATCGTCAGGAATTCTTTCGGCCATATTTTAAAAACTAAAACGGCTAGATCTAAAAACTTTCTTGAAAAATGATGAGCTCTAAGATACGCAACTTTGCTCCCATTTAACCATTTCTGTATCTCTTATGGTTTTCTGAGATCCCAATGGTGAGGGTCGAATTTGAATTACCCTGTACAATATTATGATCTCATCATATGCACAGAAGGGAGTTAAAAAGAAATATGGCTTTTGCAAAATTCTCATCAAAACTTCGCACTTTCCTTTCTCGGTAGAAGCAGCTGAAATAAATGGACCGTAGCCGTTTTAACGAGATGAACACGAATATATTTCAGTGTGTATCAAGCGCACGTATTAACCTCACACAGAGAAAGAGCAACTTTAAATAAAGTCACCCTCACCTACTTTAGTAAGCAAGTGATATCCACTCGAAGTTTACTTATTTAGTATTTATAAAGATAAATAACAATCTCAAAATACGTTTCTCTCAATAAATTGGTGCCCTTTATTTAATTTACAATTGCATTGGCATGTTTAGATATAACATAGTATGCAGATTGACATCATCAAAATATAATTTTATAGACATCAAGTTTACACCAAATTGCTATTTATAGTATATCCCTACATCACTATATTTAAATGAAATTAAGGTGAATAAAAGCTCACTGGTACGCGTTGGGCTCATATATTATTATAAGCAATTAGTTTTTAAAGTTTGTTGAAATATTCATTGTGTTAATTTTAAAGCACATTTTAAAGATGTTTAAATTTGGATATATTACGGTCACATCTTAATAGACTATTCCATCACCATTTTAACGTAGTTGTAATGTGGTAAAGTTAAAATGCGTTCGATGATTTCTAACGCTTGAATCAAATGGACGTCTTTAGAAACAGTTTCGTTATAAAAATCATCAATTATATCAACATAAATCGCAATCATAATCTTAAAACTTCTAGTTTATAATAACATTAAACAAAAAAAAATGGGCTCAACCGGGATTTGAACCCGGGACCTCTCGCACCCAAAGCGAGAATCATACCCCTAGACCATTGAGCCGCGATAAAAACAATATTAACAACAATTCTCGTGTTACTTTTGAAAGTAACAAAAGTAAGACATTTTAATCAAAAATAATAAAAAAGAAACTTACCAAATAAATATCGCAGAATTCATAATAGATAAAATTTTTCAGAGCAGCGGTAGCGTTGTGAAATTCGTACCTTTCCATGGAATCATTTACAATCTTCACCATCCCGGAAAGTTTACTTAGTATCCATTTATCCATTTTGCCCAGCGATTCGTATTTTAAGTTTCCAATTTCTTGAGCAACCAATACTGTTTCAATCCACTTGTTCGCAAACTTTACAGCCTGCCATATCTTGTTCCCGAAAAATTTGTTGATTTTGCATTCTTGCACATCGAAATTTACGAAGTGATCTAATAAAAACGAAATAAAAACTAGAAAATAAAACCAACAATAACGAAATAATAAAAACAATTTAAGGATATATCAAGGTATACATTTTGACATCTTGTAAGGACCGTTTTTTTGCGAGTACTATAAATCATCTCCTATTTCATTACCTTCAAGTTATTACACGTGCTCGTACCAAATAGGGCCACTTTCCCCTAAAATGACAAATCTCTCCTTATACGTGACCACGTAGCACATTCATATATTCCCCGGTCCGTTCGGTGGTTCCCCCAAAGGAACACCCGCCTTTGTGTCATACCGTTATTTTTTCTTCATCTTCTCTGCCTTACCCACGCGCTCCAGGCCCTCTTTCCGTTTTATTAAAAAAGTTTCGCGGTAGATAAATCCGGACTATATTGTCTTCGATTTTATTGCATGCCTTTAGGCACCACGCCGCGCCATAGGTTTTATTCTTTGGGGATGTCACCGGGATGTTGTCAAAGTTTCATCGAAAAATAGTAGTAGATCGATAAAGTCCGACCCGGGACAAACCGACGACGGACATCATTCGAGGATCAGTCCGACCTGCCATAAATTGGCACGGATGTGCGACGGTTTTATTGAGATCGAGTGTATTGGATTCCGAGGGTTCGAAAGTCTTGTCTGAAGAGATTTCAATGTTAAGACAAAGAACAAAGGTTGTTTTTAATAAAATACAGTTTTATTAAGATTTCGGTATCTATACTGTAAAGAAATAGACAGAAAAAGAAAAGAATTGTTTAAAATTGATTTTAAAACATGAAAATATAGGGCGCTTACTTTTAAAGTTATTGTTTTGTTATTATTGCATAAAGTTAAATTTAATGAGGTAATACTTTACGCCATGGTAAGTTTGCGGCGGTTTTACTCATACTAGTAGTAGCTCCCCTTTTCAAACAAACTATAACCCCCCGAGAAGCAAACTAAAACTGACTACTAAACAAGCTTATGCACATATTAACAGTATATACATCTTTACATGGGCGTCGTCATTGAGTAATTAACTATTAGCTAACACAAAATATAAAATAAAACTGTTCTTTAATATAGCAATTTTAGAACAATTTTAATATAATTTTTCAGATGCAATTTTCCTATGAATCCAAGATGAAACGACAAATATTTGTAAAGTTCCAAAGAACGCCTGTTAAAGTCCCTCGAGTACAAGAGCCGGTTCGTAATTTCGGGCTTGCAACGGCTGTTATAGAGATTCTCAACTCCGTAAAGTCGGATCTCAATAAAAGACTGCAAAGGAGAAGAAGCGATTTTAATTTCGCCACGGGAGGAGGGGATTCGGGGCCACTTCGCGTGCAGGTGAGCCGCTTTGGGGCCTTCTTAAGTACGGTTATCCCGCCAGGATAGAATCGCTGCAGGTTCTTTCTTGTCGTGGTTAACCCCGTGCAAAGCGAATAGCATCGTACCCTCTTTGATGTTACCGACGCAGTCTGTATCCTGCAGGATTTCAAACTCTGAAAGTTTTATTTCGAAAGCTTTGGAGCTTTCGTTGCAGCACCCGTGGGTTACACATGCTACATCAAAAACTCTCTTTTATACACACAAAGTTTTTTACACTTATTTTTTAATATCGTTCGATACTTATCAATTTTATTTCTTGATATGTTTTCGAGTAGTAGCAGTTCCATTTATACTTAATAAGATCTCTTCAATAGGGAAGCATTGGGGCCGAAACGGCCGGGACTCGTGTTTTAGGACATGTGTTATGACCACTCGGAAGGTATTGCTATCCCGGACCCTACTAAGTTTAGGAAAGTTGCGTCTTAAGGTCTAAGGAGGAAAAGAGGGAAAGGGAAAACGGCCGGACGTTTCCAATAAAGATGAAGCGGCCCCTAACATTTGTAGGGTTGTTCAAATAAAATTTTATCTCGAGGGTAGCTCATTAGTGTAATTGAGGTAGTTTTCGAGAAATCGTCGGTATTAATTCTCGGAAGGAATTTTAAGGAATAGAGGATTATATTGTTATACAGTGAATTTCACTTAAGATGCTTACTTTATCCCACATAAAATGCAACATGTCTAGATAATGTATTATAACTAACACTAGACCTAGAACTAGAAATATTCCGTTTAGCCGTAATAAGACGGCTAATAGGTAGCTCTAGTTAGCATAAAATATCACTATGTTGCATATTTGCGCTAGAAGAAGAACTAGAATCATTCGGGTTTAGCCGTCTTAAGAGACGTACGGCTAAACCCAAATGTTTCTAGTTCTAGGTCTAATGTTAGTTCTAGTGACAGTGCAAGTGTAAAACTAGAACTAACACTATACCTAGAACTAGAAACTTTCGGGTTTAGTTAACTTTCTAGTTCTAGGTCTAGTGTTAGTTCTAGTTTTAATTGTTATTCAGCGCTAGATTGTGGTATATTTTTATTGAACGAAAAGTAAAACTAACACTACACCTCAGTTCGATTTGTGCATCGCTAAAGAGCGGATGTGTTTTGCGATCGTGCGTCAAGTGTTTTATTTTACGCTTTATAAATCGTTTATAGATAATATAAATAATGTAAAATAGTGTGAACAGTACAATATGGCAATACTCGGCCATTTGTTCAACTTTAACGTTCTATATCTTTGTGATTATTAAGTTGTGGTCAAAACATTATTAAGAAAAATCTTCAAATTGGCCCCTAGTACCACCTTTTTAGTCTACTCTGTATGCTATAAATCACCCTGTATATAAAAAAAACACTACACCTAGAATTTTCCCCCCAATGCCTGTACTATTAAGCTATGCATCTTATGTGGGGCAGTGCAAGTGCATAGTAGTTTCGTAACTATTGCATTCATATGTATATTGCGAGTTATATGAAATTACCAGTACAACTTTTTAACCCTTATAATACCACACTTTTTTGTGGCAAAATTATTACTGTATGAGCAATAATACTTACTTTTAATATTATGGGAACATAAAGTAAACCTTAAGGCATCAGCACCACATTGAGGTATTCCTTCTGGAAACATTTTCTTCTGTCCAGCGATTGCTTTATTGAATTCCTCCTTTGTAATCAGTCCAGATTTGTAATTCTTGTCCAGAGCATTCTCTAATTCCTAACACTCATTTAGTTAATTAAAGATTAATACTGAAAAATAAATTTACCTTCAAAGTACTTCCATGTATAACATCTTCAGGGCTGATTACGTTCCCAAGGCTTTTAGACATTTTCCTTCCATGCGCATCACAAACTATTCCATGCAGAAGAATTTTAGAAAACGGAAGTTGACCAGTTAATTGTGTACCTAACATAACCATCCTTGCTACCCAAAAAAATAAAATATCGTGGCCAGTTTCCATGATTGATAGAGGATATAATTTTTTAAGATCTTCAGTCTGTAACAAAAAACATTAATGACTTTATGATTGTATTCCTAAATTTAATTAATTAATGAATCTTCAATACGAATATAGGTAAAGTATACAAAAGCGATAACACGTAATTAATAGTTAACGAGAGTTCGTAATTTGAACGATCGCGGCTCAAGTGGAAAACGAAAGGACGAGGAGACGTTCGAAGGAGGGCCAAATTACGACGTTTACTTGACAAGTGGGCTCGCAAATTACGTCTTAGCTCGCTCCCTCCGCGTTTCGAAAGTCTTCCGGCATCATCGGCGTCAGCTATCTTCATCACTTCACAGTTTGGAAACTGGCGCCGCCCGCCCATTTCACGGAGGTGAAGTACCTTCGGCATGAATTACCAGAGTTCGGTCGGCAATAACGTAGTTAAGCAGCACAAAGCCGACGTAAATGCATTCCGTTGTTTGCAGTTTCCCTATCGTACATACGTATCGAGAAGGAAGAAGATGGGAGAAACCGAACCCTTGATGTGATGATGCCGATATGTTTTACGCTCGTTAAAGTTTATTTGTGAAACAAGGAATAACAACTTCTGATCAATATGTTACATGACAAATTACATTAGACCACTTAAGATAAGTTAAACATAAAATGAATCGTAGATACCTTTCAAATTCAAGTGTAAAAATTAAAATTAAAAAAAAAAAATGGGCTCAACCGGGATTTGAACCCGGGACCTCTCGCACCCAAAGCGAGAATCATACCCCTAGACCATTGAGCCGCTTGTTAAAACATCTAACTTTCTCCAAGATAATACGTTATCACATTGGCATTTAAGAATTTTATCTCTGAAATTCTTTTACAGCCCACTATAACTTTATTGCGGTATTCAAAATTATTATCCGATCGTAAACCCGGATTTGTACGTCTCACAACGCCAGTCGCCTTATCATACCTCTGGTCGTTTTACGACTTCTACCTACTTTCACAAAACTTGAGGAAGAAGCGTCCTACATAAAATAAGAAAATGTATTTTTACGACGATCAATCTAATTACAAAGATTTTTTCTTTTAGATAAATAAATTGTTTTGTTTTTTTTTCAATGATACTCAAAATTTTATTTATTACCGATTTCGTTGTTAATTAAATCATCTTCAGGGAAAACATCAATAGTAACAAAGTTGGAATACAAAAAGAAACACTAATATTTATTAAGAGTAAAAGGCATATGTGAGCTATATATGAGCTATAATCAACCTACATAAGTATACAGGTGTCTCTGAATTGCTTGGCCAAATTTCACCAACATGATGTATGTATTATTATTATTATTGCTGTCAGGCTGAGGGGAGCGGCCCCATCCGTCACCGTGACCTATAGGATCTATTGTAACGTAAGTCCTCCAAAGGTTTAGGGCACATCTAGATCCTTATGTATTGGTTAATATCAGTAGGTGTCAGGCGAACCTTTCCGAAAATTTTGTGTCTTGGACGACCCATTCACACGGAATATGTTGAGCGGCCTTTGACTTGTCGTTGTAAAGTCGACGAGTTTGATCCTCAGCTTGTCCAATATTGAGTAGATGGCATATTAGCGGCGTATGGTCGGTCTGGAAACCTGAGAGCGACCTTAGGTCCTCATTGCTAAGGTATAGAACCTCGTTGGTTTTCTTTTGCGAAGGAGTTATCATACTCTTCGCATGTCTTTCTAGCGCAAGACTACCTTTGAGTCTTCTCATGTGCTAATTACCAGTTTTAAATGGATTTTTTGTAGTCCACAGCTTGGTTGGGGTCCAATAACGGGCGTACTCGCTGCCTCTTTGGCCAGCTTGTCCGCTTTTTCATTGCCCTCAAAATCTTTGTGACCTGAAACCCACCACAGAGTAACTTAATTACCCCTGGCGAATTTCCTCAGGTTGCCGGTACATTCTTTGACCAGTGCGGATTTACACATGTAGGCCTGATTTGCCTTTAAGGCGGTCCGGCTGTCCGTAAAGATGTTTATTGATTCGTAAAGATTTCTAACTCTTTTAAGGTTCAAAATGGTGCAGAAGTTTATTGCAAGAACTTCAACTTGAAAAAAGGTTGTATACGAGCTTAAGTTAAGCTTAGTTATTGCGCAGTCTTGTAATTCGTCATGGCCACCACATCAATGAAGCATAAGCGACCATGCGTCTAATTCTGTGACTAATTGATGATCTATTGTGATGTATGTAACAAGACTAATTACAAAATTGAGATTAATTAGTAACAATTTTTATTAAAGCAACCAAAACAAATGTCACAGCGTTTACTTGGGATTTTGCTATGGCTAGACGTTAAAGTAAGTGGTTAAAATGTCCTCTTTCGGCAGCTACTGGCTTGGCGTCGTCAAACCGCTCAAGAATTCTTGGGCTATCGTGGACTACATGAAGACTTTGACTGATCCGGTCGCGCAGCTCTTCTAAAGTATGAAATGTAGACAAGTTCTTTTAGGTGGCCTCCTAAAAGTTTTGTTTCGGAATGCAATCTGGAGAAAGTGATAGCCATGCAACTGGAATAGTAATCTTAGTAATTTTACTAATCTTAGTAATCATTAACGTTGAAAAACTTTATGATAGGGTAAGGTGACTTTTGTTTGAGTTACTTTGCTGTTGAGTTGCTTTAAAATTTGAGGTACTTTCTAGTTGAGTAGCTTTGGGGTTCGATTGACTTGCTTTGGAGATAAATGAATTTGTAATTATATTCCTTTAAGGTTGAGAAGTTTTGGAGGTTGGGTTAGGTCACTTTGTGGTTAACCCGTCATTGGTCGCTATGTGAGATTTTCTCTCACATAGCTACTTGTTTTCGTATGCTATGATTGACCTAGCGACCAACAACGAGTTAAGTTACGTTGGGGTTGGCTTTCGTTGTGATATGATTGGGTTACTTCTGTAATGAGTTACTTTGTAATAGTGATGCTTCAATGTTGACAAGTTTTGAGATTTGATTGGGTTGCTATTAAGTTGGTTTACTTTGATGTTACTTTGTTATAGGGTCTAAAATTCTTTAGAAAGTGCTTCTAAGATACCATGAAACAAAAAAATCTTGTCTCTTCTTCTTACATAACAACAACAAGACAGAAAATTTCAAGTACTTAGAATACAAGAAAATTTCTATTAAGTTCTTAGTCTCTTTCTATTAAGCTATTAAGTCCGTAACCAAATCTAAAACCATTAAATTACTGATTTTGGTACTTGGTTTTGCTCGAAAATGTGCGCACTCCAGCATCCTCAATCACAAACTTGCAATTCCACTTCTTTTACGGCACATTGATTGTTCTCGTTCCCAATACCTTATTCTTCTCTTTCTATCATTTCAAAAACGCCAAGAAGCTTAAAAGAAGTGATACGAGAGGCGTTATCACAACCATATAGCCATGATTAACTGCTTACCGAGAATTCGTATCATCCTGCTTTGGCAATTTCTCTGTTTAATCACCTTCAAGCACCGGCAACTTCAAGCATGCAAACTACTCATTGTTACAAGGCCGAAATGTGGTGGAACACCATCATGCAGTAACTAGAGGTAGATGATTTTCCAAAAATTGCTGTGTTTATGCTCACTTAATATCTCTGGTAAAACTTTGGTCCTATTAAGAGCCCACTTTACCAGGTCGGTCAGTTTCTGAGGGGCGCAGACGACGGACGTTCGGAAGCAACGAGGCGGAGTTTATTTTCTACTAGGCCCGACCCTTTATAGATAAAAAAAACATCGTGTTTANGAATACAAGAAAATTTCTATTAAGTTCTTAGTCTCTTTCTATTAAGCTATTAAGTCCGTAACCAAATCTAAAACCATTAAATTACTGATTTTGGTACTTGGTTTTGCTCGAAAATGTGCGCACTCCAGCATCCTCAATCACAAACTTGCAATTCCACTTCTTTTACGGCACATTGATTGTTCTCGTTCCCAATACCTTATTCTTCTCTTTCTATCATTTCAAAAACGCCAAGAAGCTTAAAAGAAGTGATACGAGAGGCGTTATCACAACCATATAGCCATGATTAACTGCTTACCGAGAATTCGTATCATCCTGCTTTGGCAATTTCTCTGTTTAATCACCTTCAAGCACCGGCAACTTCAAGCATGCAAACTACTCATTGTTACAAGGCCGAAATGTGGTGGAACACCATCATGCAGTAACTAGAGGTAGATGATTTTCCAAAAATTGCTGTGTTTATGCTCACTTAATATCTCTGGTAAAACTTTGGTCCTATTAAGAGCCCACTTTACCAGGTCGGTCAGTTTCTGAGGGGCGCAGACGACGGACGTTCGGAAGCAACGAGGCGGAGTTTATTTTCTACTAGGCCCGACCCTTTATAGATAAAAAAAACATCGTGTTTATTTTATTACGATTCTTTTTCTCGTCGATGTTGTTAATGAAGAAATTAAACGACTTCTTCTAAATATTATTGTTTATTAACAATTTTTCTTAATTACGAATTACAATCAATCTTTTTATTGACTTTCCAATTTATTTATTATTTTGATTTTTTATTAATAATCGTAGTCGTAGCCCACCTTTTTACTACGTTTGTTTTTTTAAGTATTTTGGTTCACAACAATAAAACATTTATATCATTTTGAAACGAAAATAACATTTATAACTTCATTTTATATTAAAATAGATATATTTGCAATACAGGGAATGTGAAAAGTTCGGTACAACATTTATAAATTATATCTTTGTTGTATTATTATGCGTTCGTTTGATATACAGGTGTCTCAGAGTAACCGTGTAAGTAATTTTATTTGAAAACACAGGTAGTTACAAAAATTAAAGAAAAAATAGCTGAATAAATGTGGTTCCTTTATGAATATTATTACTTTTCATTCGAACTTTTTTAATATTTCTGTTTAAAAAATGGACTGCATGGTCTGCATCACCTTGTATAAGTAAATGAAATAATATGTAATACCTAATTAATAATAATATTAAATAATGATTCAAGTATACAAAATATGGCTAATAGTGTAATAAATAAAACAGCCCTGACTAGAANTCTAACCATGTAATGTCAGTATAATAGATCTAACAAATTTAACGACCAACAAACGTTTGCGTTCAAACAGAAAATATATTATAGAGAACTACAATAAAGTAAAACTGCAGGAAACTGAAAATTTTGCTAAAATATGGAAAAAGAAATGGGCTCAACCGGGATTTGAACCCGGGACCTCTCGCACCCAAAGCGAGAATCATACCCCTAGACCATTGAGCCTCATGGTGAAGGATAAAAATTGTTGTTCGAGCAATAATTTTGCAAGAAAGAAATTAAATATTGCTGTGAACTTTCTGACGAGAACTTCTAACCATGTAATGTCAGTATAATAGATCTAACAAATTTAACGACCAACAAACGTTTGCGTTCAAACAGAAAATATATTATAGAGAACTACAATAAAGTAAAACTGCAGGAAACTGAAAATTTTGCTAAAATATGGAAAAAGAAATGGGCTCAACCGGGATTTGAACCCGGGACCTCTCGCACCCAAAGCGAGAATCATACCCCTAGACCATTGAGCCTCATGGTGATTGTTAAAAATTGTTGTTCGAGCAATAATTTTGCAAGAAAGAAATTAAATATTGCTGTGAACGTACTCAGCATCACTTTTGACATGTTAGTGGCAGTATAATATCAGAA